ATCTGAAAATCCTTGAGTCCTTATCTTGATGCCTACTGCTTCCTTAGGTAGCCAGGAAGCATAGTAGCAGCTACAGCTCCTGTCTTTAAGGGACAACTGTTCAAGAATGTCAGATAAAGCTGCTTCTAGTGGCCAGTTAAGATGGGGAAGCACTTTTTTTGAGTAGTGATTTTTATCACCTGCTATACTAAGGACCAGTTGGAGCCAAATCCAAGGCACCCAAAGTCTTGGAGAAAGGTCTTCTGAAATAAGGTATTAAAAATGTGATTGGGCAAAGCTATACAGTAGTGCAGTAGAACCTGAGTTCTTGGAGCCCAGTCTCCTTACACAGATGATCAAGTCCATAAAACGGAGCTTGATCAGTTTAAACCTTGTTAGGTTGCTCGCTTGTCCCCAGTGTTTGGGATGGGCTGTTTTGGAATCTAACTCCTCTGGTTAGCAGCCTTCTAGCTTCCAGCCTAAATTTACTTGTGGTACACTTATTCTTGTGCCAGCATTGGCTTTGCATTTAAATAATCTCTCCCCCTAACGTTTATAGATTACAATCGTACCCCTTAGTTTCACTAGGCTAAATAAACGTAAGCTCTTCTATTCTCCTCTTGTAGAACAGGCTCTTCATTCCCTCTGGGAGAACTTTTTTGCATCTCTTTCAGTTTTAACTGTATTTTGAAGCTATACTGTAAACTATCCTAAAGAGAACAGGCAGATTAATGTTTAAAATTCTGACTTTAAATATATTGACTGCATGGTAACTCTGTAGTTCAGTTGAAATGAATCATGCCAAGGATTTGGAATAGGCTTTCCAGGGTATTTCAGAAAAATGTTTTGGACAAATGGGGACTGCTACCATAAAATCTGGGATTTGGCTGCTAGGGCTGTGGAAAACAGCACCGTTCTGCTTTGACTTCCATTTCAACAGAACAGTGTTTTGTTTCGAGGTTTTGTTTTTTTGTTTTGTTTTGTTTTTTTTGTTTTGTTTTTTTGCTTGGTTTCAAAAGCACTGTTCTGTTTCATTTCATCGGAACTGTTTTGCCGTTTCAACATTTTCCCCATAGGCTATAATGGGGAAGCATGAAACTGCCTATAACTGTCATTTCTTGCCTGATTCAGGTGAAACTTGCAGGGATGGTAGCCCCTTCTGAGGGCATGAAGCCTGCCAGGTCTCAAAGGGATAAGTGCAGAGGTTTCTGGGAAACTATGTCAACACCTTGAGGTGGAAAACTCCTGTCACTTGCCAGCAGCCTCCTGTCATCCAGCATGCAGATCTGGAGGGCTGCAGGGCTGTGCCAGACTCCTCCTGGGGGTGCAGGCCCCTAGTTTGCCTGCCGGATCATGGGAGGCTGCTGCTGTCTCCGGGACCAGCACTGGGCACAGGTTGTGCCCAGTGCTGGGAAGATAAGTACTGCTGCTAGCCCTAGCTGGCAGCAACAGCATGCTGTCGTCCGGCGCACAGATCTGGGGGCCCACACCCCTGCGAGGGCTGGGGGCTTTGCCAGAATCCTCCTGGGGGGTAGGGCCCCCAGATCTGCACCAGATGCTTGTGCTGCTGGCTGGGACTGGTGCTGAAGCTAAGTAAGCACAGCTTCAAAACTCAAAATATTTAGAGTGCCCTTGTTTCACTTCAACTTTGCTGCTTTGAGCTCAAAACAGCTTTGAAACTAAAATGTCCAGTGAAATTTCACACAGCCATATTGACTGCTTACTACACCAAAGTGCCTCTTGCTTATGAACAAACTAGGCTGCAACTGTTCTGTAACTTGGTGTACTGCTGCTATCTTAGCACAGACTAGCATGCTAGTAACTATGGAACCTAACTGTAGTGAAATTGTTCTAAATTTGGCTGAATTCATAATTAAGGTTGTTCCTTTGACTATTTCTTTGCTTACTCTTGCTATTTTTTGATCTTCTGAGTGTCACGTGGTTAACTTCTAGTTTAAACTTGAGTTGGAATAATTCTGAGTCAAGCCACTCCCAGCACACTTCCTTTTCCCTGGGAATTGGGTGAAACTGGAAAACTTTTTTAAAACTTCATTGCACTGAGGAACGAATAACTAGTATCAAGTAATACATCTTTTGTGGCAGCTGACAAACCACTGCATACCTGGAATAGTTCCTTGTTCTCCATGTGGGCTACCTTGTTGGCATAGTTCAGCTCCGGATTTGGGTGCCCTGACTGGGACCTACTGTTATGCGCTTTAGGTTTGGGAAAATTTCCCCTCTGTGCTACTTTTTTAGCTCAAACTGGCAGCTATGCAAAGCAAGTGGGTCATCAGACCACTTGATTTGAGCTTTTTCACTGACTAGCAAGGGTTCTAAAACTGGCTCACTGACGGCCTTTTACTGGCTTCATGTTCAGGCAGGAATATTAGTTTGCTCTGTTCATCTGCAAGGAAAAACCCACCTTTCCGTAAAAAGAAATGGCTCTTTGACAATTCTGAGAAGAATCCTGTTGTAGCATTTGAAGATTTTAGTACCATGTGTCTGAACAAGCAGCTTTTTTGTATGAAGAGATTCCAGTCTTTCAAGTTTTTTTTATAATCAAGTGCACGGAGGCCATAAAACCCTTCTGATTCAGGACTCCAAATTCCTGTTCCTGTCCTCACTTCAGTATGTTCCAGAGACCTAGCCTCTATTCTTGAAGTCTTTTAAGTAGTGGTGATTCTCTCTGACTTCAGCTCTTCCCCTCTCAAAAGTTTTAAGACCTCATTACAGTAACAAAAGACTCCCTGTTGGCTAAACTACACTATATTGACGCATTCTGGTAGAAAGAGGCTATTTTCTCTCTGAAGATTGGGAAGTGGCCTGTCAAAATTGCAAGTTTCCTGCTGCTGAGATGCTTTATCTTAGAAGTGATGAAAACAGGGTCAGGAGCTTGTTTACACATGGCTTGGATGCATCACTTCCCACACCCTCTCCTCTTCTGCCACCTTATGTAATACCATGCTGTTTCCAAGCTTTGGGCCTGGTTGGTTTTTGCTATGCAAATTGCCTTACAGCCATAATCAGTCAATCACACTTCTGTAACTTTGGTCTTTCTTGGCAATTTTAAGGAACTCATGTTTCCAGGCATGTTTTGAGTGGAATTTCCCTGCCTGAATGGTGCTAGAATATAAGCAAAATTTCTAGCTAGACAGCTCTGGTTGTCCTAGTTATAGTATTTGGAGTTGTGAATGTCTTCCCCTTTTGACAATGAAAGTAGGGGTGCACCGATTTTTTGTTTTAGATATTTTTGGAGCCAATACTGATGGCAGATTTTCTTTTTTTAGATGGTGGCATATCAGCTGATACCAATCTAATTTCCGATATGCAGCCTGAAAAACAGTGTCCGGCTGCTAAATCTGTTTGTGGTGGGAGGGCAGATCAAGGCTCCTGTGGTGAGGGAGGGAGTGGGGATGGGGATGAGGCTGGGACAGGTGCTGCCTAGGCAGGGCACAGGGTGCAGCTGTGGCTTGTGCAGGGATGTTGGGGGATGGGGCACTCCTGCTGCTATGTGCACCCTGGGGGGGGTGCCCCTGGATCTGCTAATGGCAAGGGTGGGCTGCTGCTGCAGGCTGGGGCAGACAGTGGTGCTGGGAAGGAGGTTTATGGGGGTGGGGGGCTGCAGCCACCCTGAAATTTACCATAGCCTCCCCAACCCCTCCCTCCCAGCACT